TTTCTGCTAAACACCGTTCTATTGCGAGGCGAGTTATAATTTATAGCGACAAAGCATGACTTTGTTGATTATATTCTAAGTTTAATAGGTTTTGCGCTTCTGGAAACTTGTATTGTTCATTTTGTATTATATTTTTCTACAGTTTTTAGAAAGGTATAAAGTTTTTTTTTAATTATACTTAATGAAAAAACTTCAAGATGGCTTACGTCTATGGTATAGACTATATCTCAGCGTTGTCACACCTGTAGTCAACAGTGAAATACTGTTACTCCAAAAAATTGCTATTGCTTTTCTTAGTATGGTCTCCATATTCTTGTACAGTCTGTATTATTATTCAGTTTAGTTTGGCGACAGATTATTCAGCTATTATTATGTATGTTTGAAAAATAAATAAAATATTTGAAAATGTATTATTGTATCATAAATTATAAATTTTAAAGTTAAGTTGTTTTAATACGATTATTGAATTAAGTAAAAAATACCATAATTTTTTTATTTCCTAATACAATGATTTTAGTTCTTTTATCAGAAAATACTCCTGCCCATCTCCAGATTCATTTTCTCCCAAAATTATTAAAAAAACTACAGTTGCCAACCCGTCCGTTAATTTCACCGTCGCACATCGCGACAAAAGTCGCGATACCATCCAGAACCATCTGGATGACTGGTGGTTCACTACTGTGCAATTTAAAAGAAGTTTTCTTCCTCGCACAACTTCCTTGTGGACTCGACTACCACCAGAGATTTTTCCGGACCGATACGACTTACGGGCGGCGGTAGTCACTTACCATCAGGTGAGCCGTATGCTCGTTTGCCCCCTCTCCTATAAAAAAAGCGTGGCAATTATGACAAATATACCCTCATGTGGGCATCTATTGTAGAGACTTATGTTCACTTGTTGACTTTGATATGCTTTAATGATGATTATGATAGTAATAATTATTAAAAGAAATCTTTTCTGACATAATGATTTCTTATATTTACGCGAATACTAAACCTAGAATAGATCATGAGTGTTGTAAAGCATCCGGAATGTCGGGAAATAAAATAAGTTAAACAAACGCGATAAAATACACAAAAAAACGTAATTTCATTAAATAACCTTGATATATTTTTCTCAGGCGTGCAGATTTCCTCAGGAAATTCTCCTGCACAACTGTTTTCACCCTCGAGGACTAAGATTGCCACAAAACTAAATAGCATTAAGCTGCTATTTTACACTGGTATTCTTTGAGATCTTGGTACTTCCCCGGTCAAGCACACCATTCGTGCTGCCTTTATATTATGGCTCTTTTACGTAAATATATTTAAGATTTATTTAAGAAAGTTGTCTTTTTAAATAAAACACGAAAGCGTCTGTCCGATAAGTAGTCTATGTTAATATATGTCGGACGACACTACGCCCATCTCATCCGTTGTGGCAATATGATAGAGGATCTGAGAAAAGTGACTACTGAGTAAACAAATGCTTATATTAACCCCGTATACTATGTTTACTCAGCATCAGCATATATTATTCTCGCAAGTATGCCATAAACACAGTAAAAGCATTGTTATCTTGACATGATTAAAGCATTTTTTCTTTCTGTGGAGAATTTTTTGTAGATATGTGTATGGATTTTCATGAAACTGTCCTTAAGTTGTGTCAATAAAATTAGCATTTTTACGTGTTAATTAATCTTCATAATAACAATTCTGCCGTCATAATAGGGAAGGACGTAACTAACAAAAACGTAAAATGGAGATAAAAAATAAATAGATGAATTTTTCTTTCAGACCCTGCTGCGTCTAAAATATTTTAAAATGTATCAATATGAAAATTGAAATTGATAGTTAGAGACATGAAGATTTTAAAGACGAACTTTTTTTTTTGATAATTTGTTTATTTATTTAAATAAAACGGATTTTCCTTTTCATTTTAGCTTAAAAAATAATCCCGGTAACGCAAAAACTTCGAAGGAAAGACGCATATAACCATTTGTGTCTTTCCAACCTAGTAAATAAAAAAAACTGCCATTCTTTTAACATTTTTACATATCTCGGAAAGTTAATTTGAAATTGAATGGACGCAAATGGTCATTTACTACTTTTCTTATTAGTAAGTATGTAACAAAATTAGACACAAAAAAGTAACAACGCGCAATAAAGGGGTATCATACCAGACTTACTACGATAAAAGGTGGAAAAACTTAAGAGAGTGGTAACATTAGTGAGGTTATTTTTAATATTAAATGCATTGTATTAGAGTCATCTAAACGTACTCAGTTACATTATGTAACACTCATAAAATCACTCTTAAAATATACCTTTTCCAAGACGTGCTAAATAAGAATAATAGACAAAAAACAATTAAAATTTTGTTTATTAAGAAAATTAAAAAACTAAATATTTACGAATAGTTTCACATCAGGGTATGACTAATAATCACAAAACCAAAAACTTAAACACAAAATAGTTTCAAAACATTTAAACAAAATAAATACCTCTAAAATTTAATAATTTACTTATTGATTATTTTCATATCATAGTTTTATTGTCATTGCAACCAATAAATCAAATTAATAGTTTCCCTTCAGTGTTTTTCTAAATTATCATAAGTTTTGAGCAATTTCAATTACATGATTAAAATATACTAAAAGCTATATCAGTCTGAAATTTGCTTTCACAGCATCAAAACCATAATTATACCTATAAAACTTAACTGGCACTTTTTCGTACATTTTTAAATGTGCAACGAGTGAATTCAAATTATTCTTAAATTTCTTTTAAACAGGGTTTAATTAAATTACTATATTTAATATTTCAGCAACAATCACTTTTGTTAAAATCTAAAAATGATAAGAACACAAAGGAAATTTATCCTTAATAACTAAAAACAGACTAAAGGCCTTTTTTATTTCTCTCTACCACACACTTAGTCATTCTGTCAGCTTCTTTCTTGTAATAAATACAATGGAATAGAAGTATAACAGATATTTATCACTTAAAGCTAAACTCAGATTGAAGCTACCCTTGGCCTTTTTGAAATGTGAGATCAAAATACCCTTAAATATAAAAATAAAAAAGAAGATTTGTACGTTCAGTCTTCATAATTCCTTGTAAGATCCACCGCATCATCATTCACTGGCAAATTTTGCCAAAACACTCTTCTGTTTTCCGGCACGAGTGGCCCTAATTCCCTAATTATTTTCATTTTTCGTTCAGATGTAATACCCCTGAAAGTAAAATTTTGTTTGGGAGCAGGTATTCCATTTTTAATATTCTTTACCCTTAAGAAATCCAGTGAATGTTCATCACCATCGAAATTTGTTTTATAAAAAAGCTCGTATTGATAAACTCTGCGAAAAGTAATTTGGCACATATCATTTAAATATGCCCGTGGATTCGAGTTTTGTAACTTGTACCCAGAAGAGCAGTCATCAAATTTATAAAAATCCTCCACATTCATTTTTTTACTGTAATAGATTTATAGTTAGTGCTTAAAACAGCTTGATAAAAGTCTTCGAAATCATAAATTCTTTTTTTATTTTTCATAGCCATTTCTACTCTATGATGAAATAATGACATAAATGTGTAACCAACTTGAAGATATTTGGATGTAACAGTTTCAAATGAAACTTCAGCTGAATTAATGAGGTATAACATATATGAAAATAGAGCCCAATTTTTATTCTGAGCAGCGCAATTATCTAGCCAAAGCACTAAGTGCTTCATGTCACGATTTTGTAAAAAAAATGCTCTAAAGCAACTTACTATGTCATCTTTCTTTCGACCAGATATAGCTTCATGCCAAAGAGCCGAAAATATTTGAAAATTTAAGGTTGTTTTCTTTTCTCCGATTGGTACGAAACTTTCATTGAAAACAATTAAGCGTGGACAGAACATCGCTGCTTTAAATTGCTCCATGCGCGGCAACATTATAACTTTCTGTAAATCAACGGCGAAATATGCAGTATCAGAATCACCTTTCATATTATTTTGTACGTCAACAATACGCTGGTACTCGGCTCGAGCCAAAATGTACTTTTCGTGGTGAATCTCATAATTTTTACATTCCTCACAATTTCGGTGACGTAGATCAGTTCTAGGATTATGAATCAAGAATTTTTGACATAATTCACATTCCTCGTGACCTAATTTAGCAAAAAATATATTGCGATCTTTGACGATCTTACGGTAGTATTCGTATGAGATCAGTTTCTCCTGGTCAGTGCAGTGGGTCTCACAATAATCACTATACATTGCTCGCACTGTAATATCTGAAGACAAGTACCTTACATTGGGAGCATGCTCACGTCTATAATGCGATATCGTAGGATGAAATGATTCGACATGCTCTACTACATTTTCATTGTTAATTTTCTTGGGATTTGGATTCAAGCCCCTTTTATCCACATCTCCTTTCATTTTTAAGGAATTTCTGACAACTTTATCATTTTTCCTATTAAAACCCAAAGTTTCTAGAAAAAATGTCTTACAGACATTAAATTTAGTACCGGCACTATCCAGTAAAAAGTAAGAAATAGTATTTTGTCTGTTCAGTATTCTTTCACCTAGTTTGGGCCTCTTTGGTCGCGTCATAGAAGTATTTTGTCTTATAAAAATCCTTTGTTCTGACCACGTCATATTTGTAAAAAAAATATTAATTTCTTTGCGCCGGTCTTCTGAAATGTATGTGCTACATTTTTTTTTGCAGGATTCAGTACAGCCCTTTTTTTAATTGGTACTTTTCCGTTCTCTTTTTCAATATTTTAATTTGTTTTCTGGTTTTTAACGACATCTCATATCTCTTTCTCTTTCTTATAGTTCCTTTTTTAGTATATTATAAATCATTTTCTTCCTGCTCTGGTGATTCTGGGATTATTACATTTTACTATTATCAATAAATTCTTCCTGAGAATCTGTATCGGAATCGGAGCGGTTTCTTTTGTAATCGGTAGGCGGTATATAATCTTTGTCTTTGACAGAATCGTCAGAGTCAAAAATATATTGATCTGAAACTATTGGGGTAGTTTAGGAGATTCCTCCTCACAATAATAATTAAGCTCAGATGTCTTTAATTCTCTACTAATCTTTTTATGCGATATTAAATTTTCTTTATTTTCGATAGTCCCTTCAGCTGTTGGAAATTTATTTAAATCATTTTGAACAATGTTACTGGTCGGTAAAAGCAACTCTGAATCTCTGACATTTTCGTTCTGTATCTGACTCAACATTATCAATTCATTATCTGATTTTTCTACTTCAGTTTCCGCTGAATTTAGCGGATTTGAATCTGGACCCTGTATTACATTAGTTGCCATATTTAATAGTTTTAAAGATCTGCCTTTCTTCATTTTAGAAGTCTGAAAATAAAATAAATGTGGAATAATTAAAATATGGTAGATAGTTTTTTTGGTAAAGTGACAGACAGACAAAAATTCTTAAAACTATAGATTAAACCTATGTATCGATAATAATGACTATTTCAATAGGATTTTCCAAAAAATATTTAATGTACAGATTCGACTCAGTTTCAATTTATATGCATAGATAATTTTTATAATAAAAACGAATAAATGGAGACTTTACAAAATATGTTCAATACGTTTAATATTCTTACCTTCTTTCGCAACGAAACGTGACGTGACCACACTCTCGAACGACTTGGGCGCAACTGACGATACATTCCTGCACTTCCCCCCTCTAACCGCCACGATGTACCCGAATTCTTAATAGAAAAGACTCAAGTGGCCACTTCTGTCTTTTCAACTTAGAAGTTAAATAAATAATATAATCTCAAGCATATAAAAAAAGTCGGAATGTCATTTACGTCTTTTCAATTACAAAGTAATTTAATCATTGATGCTTAACGCGACGTCATTTGCGCCTAACTTATTATGTTAATCACTGTGAATACTAAAATGATTGGACGTAGGAAACCAAAAGCGTCTTTTTATTTTAAAACTATTAACTTATGTCTTTTCATTTAAGTAATCGATGCAAATATTGTTAAAGATGACGGAGCAACTGGTTAAATAAGTCTTTTCTTTTATGTTGAATTTGAATACGTCTTTTCTACTTAAAAAATATCATTTTTGATCAGCAGTTACGTCCAAAACTCTTACGGTATTTTCTAAAATATTGATATTTTAGGGAATTAAAAAAATTGAGTAGATGCGCCGTTTTATCCTGAGTCGAATGGTATATTCAACTCATTTTGTCAACAAATGTTAGATGTGCCCTTTTTTCTTCATGACGGCAGAATTGAATTAAAAAAAAAACTACGGTTGCAACCTACTTGCTTGGAAACAGGTAAATATTCCCCTTATGAGGCAATGTATGGGGAAGACCTATGTTTAGCAGTGGATTTTAATAGGTTGTAACGGTAACGGTGGAAGAGAGGCCGGTGTGACCTAAAAGCGACCAGGTTTTTCCTTCCTATATTGCAAGATAAAGCATCTTCATGGTGCATCAAGAAGTATGTCGACATCGGACAGTAATGTGCAACTGTGGAACTTCTGCCATTATAAGCATATCGACAAATGAGAAACCCAAACGGAACTAGTACATAATGTGAATACGAATTCTATACAGGCTTATTTTACTTATTTCAGTACGAGTAGAAGCAATTTCGGAGAGTTACATGAAATTTTGATGCTATGAAATTTTAAACTAGATACAAATTAAAGGCGGCACAAACTATGCGTTGAGTTTACCTAATATAATCACGTCTAACCTTTTATGAAAAAATATTTGTTTTAATCAATAACAACATTGTAAAAACTGGCTAGAATATTCTATTAAGTAAACTAGTTTTATTTATTATTGTAGTTTTCATGTTGAAGCTAAGAAAAATAAAATATGTATAAAAAAATCAATTGAATTAAGAATAAATTGTTTTATATTAGAATTTGTGTCAACTTACACGCAAAGGCGGGCCCGTCCTAATGGCGGGCCCGCTCGAGTATTGCTCGGTTCTCCCCTCTTTCGACGGGTGATGGCTGCACCTGAAATGTACAAGTAAAGCGTTTGTTAGTTTTTTCACTAGGACAAAATTAAATTGATATGTTATGTACTTCTTATGTACATAACAAATAAATGTGCAGAGATGTGATTCAGTCTGCCCATTAAACTACCCATATGTTGAATGTACGAGTACGGTTAGGTGTTCATTAGAACCTTTTTCATGGTGACAAGGAATTCCATATCAGGACTCAGCGTTATCAACCTTCTCAATTTTAATTATTAATTTAGGATAGATCTAGTTATATATGGCCAAACCATCCACTTACCATTTAATGGAGTGTATGTGCTCGGTCGTCACTCTTACTTAATGTAAAATTTGATTATAATTCTTTTAATTCGAAGGAAACCCATAAAATTAAATTACAATATTACAACCACAGTTTTATTATTCTGAGTCGTTTTCAGGAAGATGCATCTTCCTGTCTCAATTCTTCTATTTCAACTCTCATGGTAACCACAGGACGATATGGGGTAGTAGATATTCTTACACCGCCACTACACTTTATTCATTCAAATCTATTTCAACATTTTAGTGCGATATTGTGATCAGGCTCGGCTTAGATGCATTCCATTAAATTAAATTTAAACTTGACTACCAAACCTCCTATATTAAATTCTTTTAGCAAATTATCATCATAGATTTAAGTATTGATATGTCAGGTAATGTTAGGTTTTAACCCGACGATGAACTTTTAAAACGGTATTAAATAAAACGCTAATATAGACCTCTATTAACTTACAAATGGACATGTACGCTTCTGGGCGCATTTAAATAAAATCACCATAAAATGTTGCCTGACACTTGGGATATGAAGACCTTTCTAACGACACATTGCAAAGCTGCTTAGACAAATATAAATAGGTATACATATATTCATTCGTATTTATGTATAGGAACAACTATACATATAATGCATATATATGCAGAGTTCATATATTTCTAACCCAAATTTTCCAAGAGCTGGACTAAGATCCTGCGATCTAGGAGGAAATTCTAGTATGGGGGGTAACGTTTAAAAAATACGGTTAAAAAGGCCATCCCTGCAGCTTTTCGCTAATTTCAAACACAAAGCGCTTCAAAGTCTACCTATTGATCTATGGCGTATAACAATTTTATTGTAAAACGTCATAAAATTTTCAAAAGAAATCGTTGTCGAAATTTTTGAACTACTATTTCTCTTGAACGAATAAACCGATTTTGATACGGTTTTTTTTAAGGTTAGGAGCTGATAAGATATTGTAATCGATCGATTCATTAGTTTAAAATATATCTCAAAAAAATATTTTTTTGAAATATTATTGTTGTCAACAGAAGAAGAACACAGAAATGGCCGACAAAAGAGGTAGCGAGCGTTAATAAAAATATGTACAAATGTGTACCCAAAATTTGAATTTATGTTTAACGGGATTATTGCAATGAATTTAGGAATTCAGGATTAAGTATATGTTTATAGTGTTAAATATTCAATTATTTTAGACAAACATTAGAGAGCATCAAAACCTCTGGAACATGAGAGAGATTTGATACCTAAGTAATACGAGTACCAAATTATATTGTCTGTTTGATACTATTTCACACCAAAAGTTAAATATATCATACCTTATTAAATATAGAGAAAAATAAACAGAAAATGGCTAGTTTGACCTTAGGACGTCGGGACTAAATGTATTTCACCTAGTTCTAGACATTTTAACTAGGTTATTTTAGTGTTCAATTTTTTAATGAAGTCTTTTTAAATTCGCTAATGCAACATTTTATTTAAAGACGGCCTGAGTTAGTACCCGCGTTTATAATAGGGAAGTGTGTCGTTTTGATGCTTGGCTACAAGCCAGACATCTCCACCGTTGAAGAATGCTGAACAGAGGCCACTTTACAACTACTGCATTCTTTAAAGAGGAAATGGGACAATAGCATTACTTAATATATATTTTGTATAAATATAGGTAATATAAAATAAAACTTCTATTTAAAAATATGACTAACCATTTAACGGTCAAAGAAACTCTCATAATTAATTTTGACACCAACTAAAACTAGCATCCTACGAAAGTTATAGTTAAACATAACCCTTCTAATAATAACACAGAAGATTACCAACGCTCAGCCCAAATCACTAGGTCTAGAAAACTCAAATTTGGACAGTGGCTGTGTTTTATAATGTAGGCATTCACTAAGATGAAAATTCGAGCCCTAAGAGGATGAAGTTGGGTGTAATAGTTTGTACGGACCCTTTTTATTTTACGAGGCGATTGATTTGAAACTCACTGAAGGTACACCGTAAATATTTTTTATAGCATTAGGTGACAAAGGAGCACAAAGTCCATCTGATGGTAAGTGAATGCTGTGGCCCGTAGACATCTAAATTTATCCTCAACTAAGGATCAAAATGCAAATACGTTGTCACCCCTGAGGACTGAGATGGAATGCATCGATTCCAGTAAAAAGAATCTCCAGTTCTCTAAACTCAACATACGAACCACAGCAGCATTACGCTGCTATTTTACGCTGGTATTCTGTGAGAGTGTGGTCCTGCTCTAGTCAAGCCGACCCATTCGTGCTACATCTATAATATACGAGTAGTTGCAGAATGGCTCTACCACGTTAAACATATTACATTAAAACGCATATTACGACTTTTCAAAATCCTATAGCGGTCCTCAAATCCTCAGAGGTTGTTTAAGTTTGTTTGGAGAAATATTATTTATTTATTAAAAAAAATGGTGCAATTACTCTTGGATAAAACAATAAAATATCCATTTTTTATTTTTTCACAAATTTAACCATAAGCTTTTCAAACGAGAGTGCAAAGATTGTATGAAAAATATTGCATCAAGCCACACAACCCACAACGTGGGATGAAAAAATGCGAAATTGGGACAATATGTAGGTTAATTTTATTACGTAGGTATCCAGTATGAAAATATTTTGGAAAATTCAACCCCAAAGAGGGTAAAATAAATTAATAGGTTTTTTACTTGAAAAGTGACAAAAATACTCTTTAAATAAAGTTATAAATATAAACTATCATTTTTTGAAAAATTTATCCTCAAGGTTTTATAACGATAGTGAGAAATGTTATCTAAACATTTTTCATATACAGTTTTCAAACCATTCGACGTAGAAGCGTCGAATTTGGAGAAAAGGTTCCTTTTATTACGTAGCCATAGGATTTTCTTTTTGAAAAATTCAACCTATAAAAGGTTTCCAGAATCAGAATCAGAATATTTATTGCAGTAAAATGTGTATTAACAATGTGCGGGTGACAACACAATTTACCCATATTGGGTATGCAAT